TTGCACTTTATGCAGGTAAAATAAGCTTGACGTGCTCTTTATAATTTCCCTCCTGTACCAACAGTTCCTTTGAAGAGAGCTATAATCCTAAATTTAGGAAATAATAGTGATTCTAAACAGATGTTTTTTGAAAACGATATTCATTCTATCCTTATAAGAAAAAATAATGAATGCATATTAAGGATTCTTTGTTTTCTAACCAGAAGCAAAAAATTAACTGTTTTATTCTTTTATTTAAGTGAAAGTGATGTTCCAAGATTTATAGTAACTATATATATTTATAAATATAATACCTTTAAATGTGTTTCCTGTGGAAAGTAATTCTCAGAAGAGAATGTGTAGACGATGGTGCACATTTGTTGTTCACCTTCCCTTGATTATTTCAGTGTCTGGAACATCACTTACAAATGTGAAATTATTAATGTGTGGACCTAAGGGACCTAGTGTTGCCACAGTGGCTGAGTGGAAAAGCTGGAAAATAAATATCTGTGGCTCCCCAGTAAAAAGAGAAATACCCCGTAGTCTTGAGCAAGAGCAGTGCAGCACAGAAGTAGATTTAGTGTCAAAGTGTTGTGAATCTTTTGCTGAATTTCTGTAGTACTTCATGTTAATTCTCCTTAACTAGGAGAATACAGTCATTATAAGTGCTAACGCACCTTATAATTATTCTTAAGAATTATGTCTCTCTCTAGTAGATTTTCTTCAAAGTGTTGTCAAGATCTCTTGAAAAATGGAGTTGAAATAAGTGAACCACCTTTTGTATTAACTCGCTGAAAAAATGACCTTAAGTGTGTTGGACTTCTGTTATTTTTTATTTTTTAATGTTGAATTCATCAAAATGTATTTTCAATATAAAGCTGCCTTACTGAACAGCAGGCAAATAGCTCCTTGAATTGAACTGGGTATTTTGGGTGACAGTAGTCATTAGATTTTAATTTTTTATTATTATTATTACTACTATTATTATTACTATTATTATTATTATCACTATTCAGTCTGGATTATTTACAAGGCAGAAGAGTCTGATCAGGGTTGAACACTTTCACTTCTAGGTGCGCCAGCCCGTGTCGATAAAGCCACACTTATTTCTGTGAAACCGGAATGGATTTCTCTGTGCAGAACTGATTTAACTCTCAGAGAATCGCACTCTGAGTATTGAGCTTCATCAGGTTAGCTCTGTGCCTTTTGCAGGAACAACGCTGCTTAATTTATTTACTGTAAATTGTTCCGTAGTTAGTGATGAATTTAATTGTTAGTGGTTTCCTTTTGAAAGAGGAGTATAATTAACAATTCAATTTCTTTAAAGTAAATTCGCTTAAAATCAAGCAAACTTTGTTAATCACTGTGTCAGTAAGAAATGCTGATTGCTGGATGCAGAAATCTGTTGCTGCATTAAAAAAGTCGAGGGCACATCTGAATAAAACAGCCTCTTTAAATACATCTTAGAGTAGTTACCTTCCCGGCTGACTCAGACAAAAGCTCAGTAGCACTTTGTGCAGCTGCGTTAGTCCAGCTCCACGCTTCTGGGCTCAGATTTAGAGCTGAGCATAAATGGAGAGTGGTTGATCCTAAACGCTTGGGCCGTTTCTTTCTGCAGTGTAGCAAAGTCTACAGAGTTGAGTAGAACTGATGAAGGGGACAGGAAAATGTGACACGGGTAGGGCAAGTTCAGACTGATTTCCCTGCTATCTTTTAACAGAATGAAAACCAGAATTGTGATTTATTATGAAAACTGGCATTAGAGTAACTGTTATTTGTGACTTTGCAGTGTGATTTCACTCAGCTGGCAGAGAAAACCCAGGCAGCGTTACAAAGAATGGAAAACGAAAGTTAGGATTTTAGTTTTGTGCCTGAAGTAACCCAGGAGTAGCACCACGTGTCTGATCGCTGCCAGTGGTGTTGCATTTAGGGGGCATTGAGTTACTCCTGTTTGTGCCAGAACCTAGAGCGAGCTTTTAGTTAATTTGACTGCTCAATACTCTGCTGAGTATTTATTACTACAGAAGTAATGTTTGAAAGGAGTTAAGGAGGAGGGGAATAAAACGTCTGTACTTATTGTTCTCGTCTTATGTTGTAACTGTGATTCACAGTGGGAGAAAACATTCATACTTTTTAGGTTATTTAGACACTTTAGTTCTGTTATCACTCTCCTTCTGTTTCCCAGCGTAAAAAATACCTCGGAGCAGATGCTGCTTTTGCTGGCTTTTTAAGGCACAAGTTGGATATGAGTGAGCACTATCTAGTCACTTAGCTCATAATTTGCTGAAATCTTTGAACCATTGCTCAATTTTATTCTTTTTCTGTCTCCGCACCCCAGCAATAAACCGCCACTGTAGGTTAGGGTCATGCTGAGGCACTTCGATTAATAAAATGATTTAAAATCAGTGGATGATAAAAAGAGATTAAACTTTTTTTCTTTCCTTTTGCAGGACATGCATCACTTTGAGGAAGAATTAACGTGTTCCATTTGCTACAGCATCTTCGAAGATCCGCGCGTTCTGCCCTGTTCCCATACGTTTTGTCGGAACTGCCTGGAAAGCGTCATTCAGCTCTCGAGCACCTTTTCCGTTTGGAGACCCCTGAGAGTTCCTCTCAAGTGTCCCAACTGTAGGACGCTCGTTGAAATCCCTGCTGCCGGTACCGAGTCACTGCCCATCAACTTTGCCTTGAAAGCTATTATTGAAAAATACCAGCAGGAAAATCACTCCGACGTTGCAACCTGCAGCGAACACTACAGGCAACCGCTGAACGTTTACTGTCTTTTGGATAAAAAACTGGTGTGTGGCCATTGCCTTACGATAGGGAAACACAACGGACACCCAATAGATGACCTTCAAAGTGCCTACGTAAAAGAAAAAGCCAATTCTGGGAAACTTCTCGAGCAGCTCACCGATAAACACTGGACGGATGTGTGTTTGTGTATTGAAAAGCTGAAAGAACAGAAGTCCCAGTGTGAAAGCCTGGTTCAGGATGATAAAAAAGTAGTGGTGCAGTATTTTAAGAAACTTAGCAGTGTCTTGGAGCACAAAAAGCAAGCTCTGCTCACCGCCCTGGATGAGATTAACACACGCATTTTGGAAGAATATGAGCCTCTCATTGAGAAGTTGAAAAAAATAAGGGAAGAGCAGCTTGAATTAATGTCACTGAATACATCTATTCAAAAAGAAGAGTCCCCACTTGTTTTTCTTGAGAAGGTGGATGATATGCATCAACGTATCAAAGCTTTGAAAGAGCAGCAGCTACCGGACGTTAAAGCTGTGGAGATCCAGCCGAGGATTGGACACCTGTTGAGAGATGTGTGGTCTAAAATTGAAGTTGGGCAGATCAACAAGGTCCTCATTCCAAAAATAAAACTGATCCCGAGAAGGAAGTTAAGCAGCCCAGGCAGCGCAAAGGAGAAAAGAGAATACAAAGAACTCCTCCAGGCTGTAAATCCGTTAGCGGCCCTGCTGCTCGTTACAGTAGTCGCGCTAACCGCCTTTTCCTTTCACAAACCGGTGTCAGCAGTTGTAATCGAAGCTACTCCTGCTTGTATCTCCGAATTCTTCCTGCTTATTTATCAAGATTTACGCAGCCATTTGCAGAATATAGCGGATGTGCTCTGCCATACCTCTAATTCAGTGATGGAGTTTTTAGGAAGAATTGTTTCTCTTTGACTTTTTTAGTGATTAGAGTATAAATTAGGCCAGGAATCCATGGGGTTTTATTATTATTTTTTTAATCTCTACTTAAAAGCTGAATTCTTAAAGCTCTACACTTCTCCTTTCTATTTCCATACTCTTTCTGTATGATACAGATTTCCTCTCAGCTAACTTGAGAAGATTTGCAACAAACAAGGCCTCCTCTTCCCCTCACGCACTACTGCGGTAGGTTGGTAGGTGCTTCTTTAAACTGGTCAGAAACTGGTTCTGCCCAAAAAAGCCATAAGCAGCTTACAGACAGCAATCCCGAGTCCTGTTTGTAAAAGCTCCTTAAACAGCTCCTTTCTTTTTTTCTTTTTTTTTTTGGCTAGAATATAATTATTATTATTTTTTAAAATAAAAACACTACAACATTAAAGGTTAAAAAACATCCCAGGCTGCAAACTGGCAAGTCCGGGACAGGTCAGTCACTAGCGCTGGTGTATATAGACCTCCTGGCTTGCGTTTTACTGCCCTCTGGAAGTGTTTGAACTGATACACCTGCGGTCTTTTAAGCCCGTATGCGTGGCCCTGGGGTTCATTTTGTTTGTTCCTGGTTCCTAGTGGGTGACGTGATTCCATCGTTTATTTTTTTTCGACTCGTGTGTAACAAGGTTGTGTGTTTCGGATGGTTCTCTCCGCAGAGCAGTGTCTGTACGAGCTCTGGCACGATGCTGCACAGGGGTTTTCAGTGCCAGCTGTGCCCCGATCAGGTGTTGTTTGGCCTGGCAGGGAGCTCTCGCTGCTTCCTAAAACGAGCCCTGACTTCTTGCTAAATCAGTTACTATGAGGTGAAAATAGCCACGTCCTGTAGGAAGTAGCAAAACTCCTGTTGAAGTTGGTGGTATAAGGATTTCCAGAGCTCTTAAAACAACTTGACGATGAATGTAGATTTATATTCAGCTTCTCAGCACAAAGAGCAAGAGATCTTTCCCTTGACGAGACGTGATAGGAGATTAGTCTGCGATCGAACGATCACTAACTGTTGTTCGCTGCTTCTGACGAGATGTCCCGGTCTGAGCAGTGCTCGGCGGTGTGAAGGCCTGTGCTGGCTCTCGGTTGTGGGCGGGCTGGCTGCGGGGAGAACTGGGACAGGCTGGAGGGGATGCGGTTACACCAGGTGAGCTTCACTGAAAGACCAAAACCATGTCCAGTTGGATGGGACGTGATACAAATTACAGCATATTCTGGCGCAGCAGCGTCGTACGTTTTGGAGGGTTTGGTTATTGGGGTTTGACTGAAGTCGGAGCCAGCGGTGCTCTGGAGGAGTGGGCTTGGGTCCGGGCTCACGTGGTAGGGCCAGCTCCTAGAATTTGTACGTAGGTTTTCTGGGATTGTGGAGAGTTGCAAAGCACTGGTCGGGTTTTGAAACGATGTTCGGGTGTAGCCCAGGGCTGCATAAATGCTGTCAGCTCAATTTGGCAATAAACCAGGGAATTTGGTTTTGTCAAGCCCTGCAAGGAGGCTGTCACTTGGCATGTAAGTCTCTCGAAACCTGGTGCTAAGTGTCTGTCTATGACCACGTGAGGCTTCTTTTCTGACTTGCCTTCCTGTCTTTTATTTTCCTGACTTTTAAGGACTTAGAGAGTTTATAATGCTATTTTATTTTTCAAGACTATGGGAATTTATAGAACACCTTTACCACTGATTGAAACGTTTAGTACCTGTACTTCTAGTGCTCTCTATATTTTAATAAATTTGCCTACAAATAAAATATATTCTTACAGCAGGACTGGCTAACACCTTGATTTCCTCTGTGATCCCAACCAGCGGGTGAGCTGGCGAGAGCAGAGGGAGCAGCAAGTCTCCCCGAGGTCGGAACGCGGCTGCTCTGCAGGGCTGTTCTGGCCCCTTCCTTTTCTTCCCAGGTTTTTTTACAGCGTGAACTGTAGGAAGATTCTCTGGAAGTGCATGTCCCAGGGCGGGTTGATGTGGATTTCAGGGCTGTTGCACCCATTTTTCTACCCAACAGTGAGTTGGTGAGTGCTGGTGTCAGACTGGAGTGGCTGCTGGTGTGCTGCGGGGGCGATTTCTGGGAAGTGCTGGAAGCAGCTGCTGCTTTTTCTCTTAGCCCAGCACTCTGGGGTATCAGACAGCGACGAGGAGCTGCCTCAGCCCTGCGCCGGTCATCTGTGCTGGATACGAGTCCTGGGTGAGTTTCGTGTAACACAGGGAAACTTTTTCAAGAAAAAAAAAAGTATCTTTTTCCTGCACCTTGATTGAGAGGGGTTCAAACCCTGTCAAACCTAGGGTGGGTTTTTTCTCGTCATCTTTTGAAACCTCATTTTAGAAGTGTTTTTACTGCATGCGTTTTTTTAAGATTTTTGGTCCTTTCAAGGGCAAGCCTGGTTGAAAAAAACGCATTGTGGGGAAAGAGACTTACTTAAGTTTTCAGGTGTCTGAGCAGCGCAGGGGGCCGAGACACTGAGGTGGCCCCTGCCGGTGTGATCAGAGTATCAGTGTGATCAGAGTCTCGTGCTGGCAGGAATTTCTCAAGCAGGTGACAATAACTTGGTTCCACATATGTTCAGCCATGGCCATGGTTCTGCTTTTTAGGATAAGGTGGTTCTTCTGCTGGGTTAAGGGGGAATACCGCAGCGATCAGCAGGACAGCCACACCGTGGGACCATGGCGGCACCAGCAGGGCAAACTCACCTGGGTTTTGTAAAGTCTGCTTGGTATGAAAATAAGAGCTGAAAATATGAACAAGGGCGAAGAGCGCAGAGCAGGATGAGCTGGCGGTCAGGGGCTGTTCTCGAGATTTTTATTTTTTTTTACAGCAGGTGTTTGTTTGGCTGTTGGGGTTTTGTTATTTTATTTTTTTCAGGAAGCACCCACCAACAGTGGAGGCGCTTCTACATCAGGGATCAGTCCTAGTGCAAGTGTGCCAGCTACTGGCCTGACTTCTGGAGCAAAGCACACACTTTCAGCTCTTAAAGTACAAAAAAAAAACCCCAAAAAAACCAGAAAAAGGGATTCAAAGCAAAACCTGCTGACAAGGTGCTGATGGAAGTGGAGAAGTCTCTGGAACAGCCAGGTGAGCTGAACCGGGAACAGTTTAGCCCTTTGTGAACTGGTGGTGGGGTGAGCAGATGCTAATTACTGTGTTAATGAACCTCGAGTGAGAGGGAGGGAGGAGCTGTCCCAGCAGGAGGGGACAGGAAAATACCTGAAGGGTACCTGAACCACTTCACTACAGAATGGCCAGAGCCACCTGAACCTCGCAATACATCTGTCAATTATTTTGCCTCCCGGAACTTATATAACAAAATTTTGCGGGACGTGAAGACATTTCAAAGAAATTTGCTTACTTTATTACATACAGTAAAAACGTATTTGAAGCCAAACGCAGAACCCAAACATTGACAAAAACTGGAATATTAGATACAGAACTTGAAAAATAGCACTTTTTTAAAATGCAGTTCACATAATTAAGATCTATATAGAGTCGGTATAATTTTTATTAATGAGCTCCACTAAACACAAAAATAAAAACAGATCTCAAATACAAAAATCGAGTAGGTAAAAGTAACCAGCAGCAATGAGAAGGGAAGTCTCTTCCGCTCTATTTCTGGGCTATACAGCACCCGGGGCAGCGAGTTCAGCCAGTCCTTTGGCTGCGATGACTTTGGGGTTTGTGGCCACGCTTTTCGTGGTGTTGTGAGTCTTGTAAATGCCGATCAATCTGTCTGCAATCTCAAACATGTTGTTCCGCAGGGAGATGATGATGAACTGCGCGTTCTTGGTTTGCTCCTGAAACAGAAGTGACTTGCGTTAGGCGGCAGCACCGCAAAAAGCTCTTGCACCGTCCCCGTGCCCAGGTGTGAGAACTAAGGGCTGCAGCACTGGACGCGGTTCTCTCGGAAGCCTCCAGGCTCCTGCCCTCGGAACCAGGACGTGCACAACGTGCTCCCCTCTCGGCTGCCGGCACCCAGTGCTGCGGGTTTACTTATGCCTCAGTTTCCTCCTTTTACCTTTTACGAGACCTCTTCCAGTGATTTGGGAGCAACGTACATAATTTCTTTCCAGAGCTGCAACTCGCCACAGCTGCAACGTGAATTCCACAAGGTTTACTCACGGTGGGTATTACCAAGTTACCTACGTGTCTCTAGCAAGGAATGAAAACGAAGCTGTTTCCCTGGGCACTGAGAGCAGGGAAAACCCTTTGCTGGCAAGGACGAGCCTCGACAAACAAGAGCTGTGTGACCCTGAGGCAGAATGACGACAGATAACGGAGTATCTGCATCTGGCAGCACTTTAAAAATAAAACAAGCCTTCTCCTCAGAAGCCCGGCAGTGGTGGGGTGAGTTCCCCGGCGCTCCGAGCTGGAGCAGGAGGAGCGCAGCAGACGCACAGCTCCAGCCTGTATTTGCACTGAAGAACCACCCACTGAGGTTTACGCTGAGGTGTCAGTCTGCGCTGCAGGTGGAATCAAACTCTTTGCAGGCAGGTACCTTCACCGTAGTTGCCTGATTTTAAGGAGCTCATCGTAATCTTTGGCACCTCTAGGGGGTGTTCCCAGAACCGGTGGTTACACTGAAAATTCTCAGTTTAAATTAGCAGCCAGAACTGTAGCGATGTAAATGTTTGCTTGACTTAAACATGATGAAACGTGAAAAACCCCCTCACCAAGAAAGCCACAGCTCCAAGAGGCCTATGGGAAACAGCTTATGGTAGCGAAAGGGAAGTATAAAACCAAGGAGCTTTGGCTGCTCTCGGGAATGAAATCACGGGCTGGGATACGTGAACACATGAGCTAAACAAGTTCCTGTGTTCTCAGATGACTGTAGCTGATTATTTGGGGGAAAGTGTCTGTATTTTAAAGAGGAAGCAGAAGCAGCAAGGAAACATGGAAACGAGGTGCCTTTGGCGAGTTCTAGCACTCTTCAGACAGCTTCTGAAAGGGGATTTGGAAGGAAAAAATCTTGTAAATCCTCTATTAGTTGCCTCATTTCAGAAAAGCATCAAACTAGGCAGCTTAGAAAAAAATTACACAGAAAGCAAAAGTCTAAGCACCCTTCTGGAAATCTGCTTAGCACATAGTTTCCACTCCCTCAATACTCTATCATTCCAGATTTTTAAATCTGGCCAGAATTGTGTTACCACTTTGTCTTTTCTGGTAGAGGAGAAAACGTCTCAGGAAAATGAAACTCTGGTAGCTACTGCTGAATACTTACATATATGTAAAACGCTACAATAGAGACGTTTTTGAAGTCAAGTGCTGCGTCAATCTCGTCCATAAAATAAAGTGGTGTTGGCTTGTAATGGTGAAGAGCAAAAACCAGAGCCAGGGAACTAAGAGTCTTCTCTCCTCCCGATAAGTTAAATATCTTCTTCCAACTTTTCTTGGGAGGCCGAACGCTGAAACAAACCAAGAACACGTCGCTTATTTCTGTTCACGATTAATCTAAGTATGTCGCGGGGAAAAGCAAGTCACAAGGCAGGAATTCTTGGAAGACACGAAGAAGCTCGACTAAAACCACGGAAGAGCTGCTCGCTCCTCCTAGTCCTGCGGAGCTGCGAGGCCGAGAACCGCGTCAGTTCTGTCCCCGGGGAGTAACTCCCCGCGTGGGGCAGAGCTCCGGGGCAGCTCAGGGCTGCCTCCGCTCCCACGACTGTAACTCAGCTCTTCTATGTGGACACTGTAACTGCAAGTTAATTTTCTTTCTGAAGTGCCGTTCTGCTCCCGAGTAACGAATGTACTCCCAGGAGCATTTCTGACAGACCAGTCTCCAGCCACCAAGCCGACTGACACAGCTCCCCAGGCAGGATGAAATGATTTGGGAATTTAGAAACCGTGAGAAATGACTTCAAAGTCAAAGCTCTCCAGCTGCTGTTAGTTACTTATTTTTCCAGGAGAAACCAATGTCAACGCTGAAAAAATTGTGGCTTCTGCCAGTATCTTGCCAAGAGGGAGGCCTGGCTTGGTTAGCTGCTGCTCCGTTAACATTTACTTAAAAAGGAAAACAACAATTTAGAATTACAGCAATAATACCAAATATTTTGACAAACCTAAACATGATTCCTTCAGAGAAGGGATCCAGACTGTCCACAAGTTCTAACTCGGCATCTCCTCCCAAAGTCAGCATCTGGTAGTTTTCCTTCAGTTTATTTGTTATCATATTAAATCCGGCCATAAATTCATTTAGCCTTTGTTTCCTAAGATCTTCAAAAGCTTGTCTGAAGTTGTCTCTCTCATTGGTAATGTCATCCAGCTCAGCCACGCGTTTCAAATACAGCTCTTCCTGTAGAGAAAACCCAACAGTACAGTTAAAGCAGCTGCCTCCTTCCATTTTTCCTCCCGTTTAAAAATTCATTTTTCCCAGAGCCGGGAAACAAAGGAACAAAACCAAACTTTTTTTTTTTTCCCCCTCATCTCCCTGCTCTGCTGGAAAACCTGTGTTAAAATACAATAAACATTTCATCCGTCAAATAGTCCTTCCCGGAGAAAAGCCACGCTCGTGCGGAATGAAGCTGACCTTCTTCTTGTACTCTGCAATGGCGCTGAGGTTGGGTTTCATTTCGTGACACTGGGCTTCCAGCAGAGCGATCTGATTCCTGATAACGTCCGGATCCTCGATGGCCTCAAGTTCTTCTTGACTCAGCACTGGAAGTTCTTCAGGTGGATTATCATCTATGGGGTGCAGCGATAGTTTTGATATCTGAAACGCAAAAGCAGTTACTAGAAAGCTTTAAAGCTCACATTAGTTATCATATGAAGGTGTTGTGGAAAACCTTTTGCTGTTTGAGTAGCTTCCAACCTCAAAACATTCAAAGATTTTTCACAGAACTGTCATGAAAACGACAACAAATGTTCTTGTTATTCCGTTCCTGAAAATCGTAAACATCATTCTCCCGAAGGAGACTTCTCTGAAACAGGAGCAGTAGCAGATAACGAGGAAATCGCCTCAACTGCTGCCAGAGAACTTCAACAACTCGATCCTTAACGCTTCGCGTGGTCAGGATTGAGAAGTTCCTGCCAGTGGCTGGACGGGCTGGCCCCGTCAGCTTCGTGTTCGCGGGGGCACGAGGGGCACCGAGCCCTGCGAGATCATCCGCTGACCCAGAGCCCGACACCCCTGGCGAAGATTTAAACAGGAAGGAGAACGGACACATCATACAGAAGCTTCCATAAACTAATTAATATTAATTACTCGTAGATAGTGTTGTGCCAGTTATCCTACCTGGGTCCTTCCTAACTAAAAACCACTTGTAAAGCTAGAAGCTAAACCCTTTCATTCACAAGTCCTCTGTGTGTAAACTAGAGAAACTGAAAGGTCATCTTTTTTAGAGGTTTTTTAATAGCATAAACACCAAAAACCTGCGATCTGAAGATGTATTTTCTCCCAAATTATCAGTTTGCTGACTACATTTTAATGTCCTCCTCTTTTCACATCTCACAGTTCAGGTTTTAGCAACGAACTAACTTCCTACCTCTTTTTGCCAGTACTTCATCTTTGACTGGTGTGCAGAAATATGACCGTCAATTTGTTCAATTTTCAGCTTAACATTAAGAGCTTCCTTTTGAAGTGCATGTTCATCGTCCTGAATAGCTTTAATCTCCTGGAGTAAATCGTGATGCTCTTTCTGAGTTGCTGGCAACGCATCCTAAAACAGAAATGACAAAAAAAAGGCATTAATTGGTTGCCTACAAAAATGTTACCGATTATTTTCACTCTATTAGTCACAGAAGTTACTCTCCAGTCCCACCTACTGATGTAAAACAATACGTATTCTTGTAGTTAGATTAAGCAGGTCCCTAAATTCTGGAATGACTGAAAATATGCTGCAGTTTGTATTTTCATTCCAGATCTGGCTCAAACTCAGATGTTTTTAGCTAAAAGGTAGTTTTAGAGAAAGGCAGTCTCAAAGAAACAGCTTTACCTGGAAGAATTCCAGCCATCCTGGTTGTTTTCACTTTCTGGTGAACATAAATCCAGGTGGGAAATTTAGGTCCCACATAATAGGAAAAAATAATCTGTTTTTAAGCAAGTTTTGAAAGCAATGTCTAAGGACAAAAGAAAGGAAAGACCTCGGCTTAAGAACAACTCTGACGCAACAGCTCTGAGCCGAAATTTATTTCACAGGCTGCGTCCTCTGCGAAGCAACACACGCGCCCTCACCTCAGCCTGCTTGCATTCGTTTATAACCTCGGTGGCTTTCTCTTCTAGGGTGGTCAGCTCTCGTGTTAAGTTTTTAATTTCTTTCTCAGTAGCTTCAATTTCCTCCTCCGTGCGAAGAAGGGACTCTTCGGATTTTTTCAGGTTTCTGGGTACAGAGAGATGGGTACAAATTATTAGTGCAAACACGACGCAAGAAACACCTCACTTACAGATTGACAAGCAAACAGGACGTGCTGGTTTACGCGTGAGCTCTCACACTCCTGCGATACCCGAGTAAAAAGAAAATCCTCCTCCTTAGAGCAGACAGGCATCGTTAGATGACTTAATTTCTTCTTTCAGAGAGAGCTTTGACATTTGTTCTAAGTGTTTGTTCAGGCACTGTTAAGCTAACATCAAAAACGTACCACGTTTTGTTTCCTGACGCACCTTAGAATAAAATCAGTCCCTTCGGGATTGGACTGCCCCACTGCAGGGCAATTAAATGCCGTTTTGAATCTTTACCCTGAAATACTACAGCTTAGTCGTCGGCAAATATCAGCAGAAAAATTAAATGTGACTTTTAATCTGCCTATTAGAACCCCCTCAAAAAAAATTCTTTCCCTTTATCTCCTCGCCACAAGCGACTTTTAGTATTAGGCATGCGACCGCAAATCAAGGTTTTCAGATCCGAGGGACTTTTTCACTAAGATCACTTAAAACCAGCCGATGTCCTGCAGGCCCCGATGCCAACAGGTGCAGCTCTTCGAAGGCTGACGCGACTCCTCTGGGTCAGGTTTCGCTGAGCTGTGAAGGTCTCTGATCCTTTGCCCGCAAAGCACAACTCGCAAAGATTACGGCTCCCAATTCAGAACCAGGCTCAGTTCGAGATAAAGCAGTTTAGAGACAGAGGTGACGACCTCCTCCCTTCAGTTCTCCTCTCGCCATGAAGAGGTGAAAACCCAGCTCCTGTGGCCACACAAACCCGCCCACGGAAAGCTCCGACTCTCGGGCTCAAGCTTCCCGGCGGAGCGCGGGGCCGTCTCCCGTACCTGTCCGCGGTCTTGATGGCCACTTGGGCTTTGGTGATGGCTGAAGCGCAATTATCTATTTCTTTGTTGACCTTATCGAGTTTGTCTTGTTGGGCTTTAAGCTTCTGGTTGTTGATCTCAAAGATGAGGTTATGTAAGCGTTTCACTTCGGTTTCTATTTTACCGGCTTTCTCGGCAACGCAGTCGTAATCTGTCGATAAATAGAATCGAGGTAAGGTCGTTACGCCAGGGACACCGGCTGCTGCACTACATCAAGATTTAAGTGACAAAAAGCTCTGCTATATTAATATATTGAGATGTGTACCTATTTCTTTCTACTGTGAAAAACGCTGAGGGTTTTTTACAGTGGCAAAAAGGAAGAATACCAGCCACAGCTTTCTGACACCGTTACACACCCAAAGCAGTTTCTGGTGTAAACCACCAAAACAAATTTTCATTGAGTGACTTAATGTCTATAGAATACACGAGATCGTACATATCAAGCTATTCCAAGCTCATTCTTTGCATTTATTTCCTGGGAAAATGCTAAAAGGTTAAATTGTAAATCGGGCGCTAGCTGGTGCTCAGTAGCCGGTACTACTTGTGTAGTTACTATACGTGCTGAACAATGAGAGCCTACTCCACCTTGAAGGTAGCCAAGCTTCTGTATTGAGCTTGTACTTAAGAAAAACATCTTAATAAGTTGAACAGCTTTCAGAAATTAAACAACGTAGCACCTTAGTATTCCAAGTGAAGCGTTCACACTCTCTTGACGCTACACTGGTCGAAAGAGGCACGGAGGGAACCTGTGCGAGCACGTATTCTCTTCCCTAAAACGCTGTAAGATCAGGGGGAGGGAATTACCTTCTCCTTTGCTCATATTCTGAGCAAAACACAGAAAGCAGCAGGGAAGGTTTACTGTACCAAGCTACCAATTTCTTCAGAGAAACTGTTACTCAAGTTCTCAGAGCAAACGGCTTCCCCAAAAGGCGCCCCCGGGGGCGCAGCGTGCCCACAGCCCAACGCGGGCTGCTCGTTGCACAGGGTCCAGGTGGAGCCCAGCAAACGATTCTTACCCCAATTAAATCAAGTTTCCCTATAAATCTGCGTGTAATACAGCAAATCTAACCAAATAAACAGAAAAATACTCAAATTAATGTTTACTTTAGGTCAGCTGAAAGACTAACTTAAGCACTTGCAAAAAAAAGGGTTTTCATTCTCTAATCGCTAAAAGCACCTTTCATCTCCTCTTTAGAAGAAAAGAGGTTCCAAGGCAAGAGCCGGTACCGCACTGGTAATCCAACAGAACAAAGTCCAAACCACCCATTCCCAAATTAGTAAAAGAACACAACTACAATTTTTATCTATAATCGCCTCTCCACAAAATTGTACCTTTTTTATAACTATTAAGGACTTTCTCCAACTCCTTCTGTTTGTTTTTGTCTGGGGCAGCAGCGATGACGTTGGCTTCAAGTTCCTTAACTTGGCTTTTTAGATGAATTTCTTGTTCAGATAAACGCTACAGAGAACACAACCGTGTTAGAATCCTGTACTTTAAAGTAAAACTAACAAGAACTAAATTAAGCTGAGGCTGAGAAGTTATCCCCCTGCACATTCACAGAGGAGCCAGCTATCGCCTCCAGAATCAACTTGTTCACCTGGAGACTTGCTCTGTACTTTTCTAAAGTATTTCTCATTTCCCGAATATCTTGGCTCAGTTTTCTTATGGCTTCTTCAAGTTGTAATTTCTGCTCCCCGCACTGTGCTGCTCTTTTCAAATCCTTCTGCAGCTGAGATTCCATTTTACTGACCTACACAAAAAAGAGATACAGTCATTCGCCTTGTGCCGCCACTACAAACCAAAGCGAGATCTCGCTCGTGCGCTTGGCAGTCTCTTGAAACGCAACAAGAAAGTGCAATAAAAACTCAAAATTTTGCTGTAGCTGGACAGAACGTGGAGGCCGACTGATGAGAAGATCAATTATGACATGGAAAGACAAGAGGAGCAAGCGTAAGGAAAAGTAAACTGAAGAATTCCTGTCAAAATAGCTTGTAAGGGAGAATTGGTTTAAGGAAATAAAACTAGACTAACGCTTGAAAGGCTTAAGGCAGAAAGCAAAACACACACGAGCAGAAGCTAGAAGGAATTTTTGCTACAGCTGGAATTTGATGCTTGTTGGTTTCTGTGGTAATCGGGTGTTGGGAAGACGAGCTGCTTTTGCACAGAGTAACTGGTGAAGTGACCCAGTCTTGCAGTTCACCTTCAGCAGCAGAAGGAACAAGGACACGTTTCAGATCTCGGCGCATTTTCTGGTTTTATATCCAGAGAACCAACAGGCGTGGATATGAATACGCTTGTTCTGCCCGTAGTTGTCCACGATGCCAGGCAGGAACAGAGCCAAAGCTCTTGGAAATGCAGAAATTACGGTCCAGCTACTGAGCTTTATGGAGTGCCCAAACAGAAAAGAGCACAGAAGGCTGCCTCTTGGGGAGAACAGAGTGTGAAGACAGAAAATAGCCAAGTCCTTTAATGAGTAAGATCTAAATGTGAGCTGCCTTATTTATTTATTGACTCTTTACAAGGCCAGGGCAGTAACACCTTGCCCATGAGATTAGTTCCTTAGTTGTCCACAGTATCTGAATAGGCTTGGCAGGAAAAAAAAGAAAAGTCACATGTCAAACTGTCCACAGTTTGTAGAATTTTATCTTTTCTTGGCCAGTACAATCCTATTTTCCAAGGCGAAGGTGAAAATACAGAAGATACATGAGAGAAAAATAGAAATCTATGTTAGCCTCTCAGTGATAAACCCAAAAAAGTGCAGAAACATTAGCAATGGCAGCAAAGGTGGTGACATGGTTACGTCCTCCACCTGAGAAATCAGAGAGAACCTTCAAGTTCTGTTTGATTTTGAAGTTTTCTAATTGAAAGTGTTTTCACCAAAAAACCACCTAACTCCTGTTTCTGTGTCCTTAGTGGCAAGCAAATGCTCAACCCAAGTGGTCGCATGCAGCTTTCAGTCCTCAAGAGCAAAAAAAGTTCCTTCTCCTGTAGGGAGAGGACGGCTCTGAGGAGCCAGGGCTCACCTGGCCAGGGCTACAGAGGGAGCTTCTCTTCCTGAAGTGCTGTTAACACTTCGAGGTTGGACCTCGGCTCATCAGCACATACTGGGCAAAAAGGACAAAGGCACTAAACAAAACTACAGACCAAAACCTAGAAGAACTCGGAAGAAAAACTGTATCTTGATGTCACAGAACGGTGAAGGTATGAATTGGAAGGAAAAGCTCTGCCACCCGTGACAAGTCTTACAAGGACAGAAAAGGAAGGGATCGGACCCGTCTGGTCTCGCTGCTGAGGTCTGGGTGTGCTGCTCCGTAGCCCGAGGCTCCCTCACGATCAGCATCTCCCACGTTCCCAGCCCCACCTCCAATTAGTTTCCAAGCTGTCGAAGGCAGCACTCAATTAAAAATTAAAAAACAGTAACTGGGCTGTGAACAAAAGCACTTCAGAGCACTATAACTTAACGCTCACCTTGCGAGCTTTAGCTTTAGACATCCCAGTCAATGCACTTGGCGCTATTAACTACCCACACTGGCTTAAAAGGACACAGCACGTGTGTCCAAACTGCCAAAACGTAAGGCCTTTGGATGAAATTGCCTTTTTAATTCAGGTTATGTACTAACCTCTTCTTCTGAAACATCCATGACGACGGAGGAACCCATTCTGCCCTTCATTACTCTGCCTCCCCCACCAGTCATGGTTCCTAAAGTAAAAGAGACGAGAAGAAGTGAGCGTGCTTCGGTGTCACCTAGAAAGCACTTCAGATACAATTGCAAGTTTGCACATCGATACCTGACTGCTCGATGATTTGTCCTTGCAGCGTTACCACCCTCCATCTTTTATCTCTTTGGAACGCTAGTCTGGTAGCGTCCTCCAAGCTATTGGCTACCAGAGTGTCACGCAGCGCGAAGTAAAACGCCAGGCGAACCTTCTCGTCTTTTACTTTCACCAGATCAAATAACCGAGGAGTATTTTCAGGAGTTGAAATCTTTTGAGCTTTTTTTTCCCATAGAGTCATCTACACCGAGAAAGGAAACAAATGAGAGATTCCTTAAGACAAATCCTGAGGTTGCTTCATTCTTCTAAGATTTTAAAGCAAACACAATCGTCCTGCAGTTAATAGTGAAACTTCCCTCCTTGGGGACCTCTTCTCATTTCCAATATAATTAAAAACTCGCCAATGACTCATTGTTCCCCTTCATAGTTTACAGTTACTAGATTACTTAGATTATTAAATTTGGTAAGTTGTTAAAAAAATCTAAATATAAAAACAAACCTTTGGTGTGCACATGCAGGTAGCCCAAGAGCCTCGTGCATCTCTATAAGTAAACGCTGGCACTTGCTAGCAGAATATTCTAACGTACCAACAGCCCAGTAAAACATTTTATATTTTAGCTTTACCTGTATTAAATCCAGACACAGGTAATATGTAACACGTACTCCTACGTGTGCGTATTAATCCGTGACACCCACACCGCGCCGTGCACACGAGGGTAAACGGGCAGTTGGTTGTGCCCGTACGTACTTTGTCCAGGGCTATAAACGTGGCGACTCCGATTCCGGTTGCCTTTAGGAAATTCACACATCTCTGCGCGGTGTCGATCGTATCGACAACGATGTTGTCCAACGCGTCGCAACACGACGAAATAGCGACATCGTACTTCCCCTCGATCGCTCCCAGGTCTCCCTAGGAATTGCGGGAGGCAGAAGTACAGCGATTAGCTTGGCCTTAACGTTTTGTCGTGGTGTTAAAGAAACGACCGAGAGTTTACACAAAGTGAAATGAGACGAAAACAAATGAAAAAATCATTTTCCGTGAAAGAGCTTGAGCTTTAATTAGAATTTGTATAATAGCATCTCCTGTACGCTGCCTTTTAGGTGTTTCTAATGTACTTGTTTCCACAGTAGGAACACGTACATGCAAGAGCTCAGAGTTTCAAGAGACACTTCTGACAGAAACGTGTTTTCTGCGGATAAATATTCATTTTGATAGGCCAGCATCTCAGCAAGGCAGCCTGGCCCAACAAAATCATTTAACGTGTTCATTTAACGGCTCTGCCGCAGCCGGGCAGGACCCAGCACGTCACACACTTGGGCCGTCCTGCCCTGACCCAGCGAACGGGTACCGGGGGATTCACTGTCTTTGAAAAATCCTCGTGTATCTGCAGATAAAAACCAGCACAGGCGGCCAACTGTGAGGTATCCAAGAACAGATTAACCTCACACTCCTCTCTGTGGCAAGTGATAACAGAGCAGCAGACAAAATACATGCCAGCTGCACCAGACAGTGGTCTGCCGCCGGTTAAACTTTATCCTTTCTTACTGAAGCTACACACACATTTTTTAAAAATATAACTACACTAAAATAAACTGATTTTTCTGCAGCAGAGATACTTGAAGAGCGGGTGGGGAAAAAGAGAAAATTGCGGAATACAAAACTAGCACTGATTCGCTGCGTGCCTTGTTCAGTGCTTAAAAAATAGATAAAGGGAATGAAGAACTTCCCATCAGCTGCAGATTTTCAGAACTTGAAATCAACACCGCTGGGAGAGAACTGATAACACTCAACGTCTTGCTGGGACATAGCTTTCCTGGGTCTCCTGAAATGATACTGCTTTTTGATTTGACATCCATGCAAGTAAGACAACAAACAGCAAAGAGACCACTAAATTTTATAAATTTAGAAGAAAATAAAGTGTTGCAGCTCTGTCCAAATTTACAGCACCAGGGAGGTGAGGAATGCTACTCAGTTGCAGAAACACCTATAAAGTTTAAGACTAAAAGTGTTTAAAATTACCAGTCTTCCATACAGTCCACAAATATTGCCTGATTTCTTCTGCTGAAGCAGAGCCTCAAGCACTTTTCCTCGGCTGCGACTTTGTGCGAAAGAGCTTTTGGCTTCTTCTACTTTTTGACGGAGGTTTCGTACGAAGTTCGTAACGTCCGACTCTTCTTTTACCAGCTTCTCAAACTCCTTCTCTTTCTAGTGGTTAGAAGACAGACATTATTTTAGTCTCACAAAAACTACTGCATCCCGGGAGTCTTACGAAAAGCAGAAGTAGGAAACATTTATCACACGAATGGTTGGTACGTGAATGCACTCTGGTTAGTATTTAGCACGTTTAGATACAAATACGACGGCTTATGGATTCAGGAATCAGCCTCAGGACAAGGTAGCGGGATTCCTTCTTCTTTGCAGAATGAGAGGAGCAAGAAGTGAAATTCAAAGCAGGCTCAGAAACAGTCATTTATTTATTTTAACATTCTCATGACATTTAAACTGCTTCCCTTGCAGGGATATGTAGGATTTGATTTCAGTGCTTCATGTTAACATTTGTTTAACCCCAAATAAGTTTGAAACCCGCTATACTTCCTTCACTGATTAACTGGGTGTTATAATAGAGCTTTGAAATGTCATTTGAGGCAGTTTTGCATTTATTTCCACCGCGATGACTGCTAAAAAAGAAGCGGGGAACTTTGCTTTGTGTTTTGCCACATTGCAGCGTCAAGTCTCACCTCCTTCAATTCCTTTTCAGCCTGGGGTAACTTTATTTCTATATCTTTGATAGCGGCTTTCCTTTCCTTAAGAGTTTCTGAAGTCGTCGTCAGAGCCTCCTTTGCCTGATTTAACTGCGACAGGGCGGTGTTGTGACGGCTGAGATAGATGTCGAGCTCTGACTGGGCCACGTCCCTCTTGGAACAGGCTTCGTTCACCGCTTTACTGAACTCCATCAGCTCTTTCTCTTTGCTCTGCAAAACCAGACAGCGTTAGAGCCCAGAGCAGACAACGGCGGGATTTGTCCCGTCACTGATCACGCCACGCGACAGAAAGAGAGGAAACTGGCACGTTCTTTTACTAGCTCTCCCGTCAGCAGAAATGTTATCTGGAAGAACAAGTACTTCTTAATTTACTAACGGAATCTGTATGAAAATGAAATAAGGCATTTCTCATAATTATAAAGGACATCAGGCAGTTATCATAGAAGCTTTGTATCATTTTTTCAACCTAAAGTTGGGAGGAGCCCTACACATTGTGCTAAACTAGAGATCGAATGGAGAAACTATGAGTTCGAATACAGAAAATAACCCCCTAAGTCTACGGGATAAATTTCCAGCCTCCAAGTGTTCAGTGATGGAACAGCCAAGACCAACACCCAGGCGTTACAGCAGTTGTCTGTTAAATCAAAGAGAGATTACAGCTGTGTGAAAGGCTTGGAACACACTGTTCCAAAAATCTGCTTATTTATTTAAGCAACTTATTGGCGTAAACGTTTGGATGGGAGAAAATTAACCTGCGTTCAGGTGTAGAATTATTTAAAATATATATATATGAATGACATACTTAGCGACACACGATCGCTATAAAAAGCAGACAACTTAATGAGCAGAATTTAGCTGTGATTATAAATTAATTTCCTGGTAAGGCACCATTGAACCGACACATGAAACGGTTTATTCGTCATATAAAATAGCCTTTCACAACTGTCTTCGGATTGTTTCATTCCTAAGTGTAAAAACTACGCAGGAGTTGATACAGCAACTGTGCCAAGTCAAAACAGCTCAAACCTCTTTCTCTTCCTGAAGTCCTCGTGTTTCTTCCTTAAGGCTGTCCATAACCTGCTTGAGTTTTGCTTCTTCCTTCTCCTTTGACTTTTCAAGCAGCTCTTTCTTAGATGTCGCTTCGCTGATTGCAGTTTCACTTTTGGAAGACGTATTTTTCAATTCTTCTATCTACGCAAGGAAAAGACCTTTGACTCCTCTCCCCCTGAAACAGAACGGTCTTGCCTTCTCTTTAAGCTCTGACTTCCTCGGGCTCTGCGGCAGGCGAAGGCAGCGGAAGCCCTAGCGCAGCCCTACACGTTTCTGTAGGGTAAGATACCCGTGGCTCTAGCAGGGGGCCTGGATTTCATTTGCGAGGCCTGTTGGGTTCTAGAGCCCCTCTGCAGAGAAACGAGCCAGAGAGTGAAAGACCCCACAGCTCTGCCCGTAAGAACTCAAGACTCTGAATCCCAGTAAGGCTCAATTCTTAAATGTCTCCTCTCAGAAGGAAACAGAAGAAAAAAAAAAGTTTTGAAAAGGTAGTAACCCTGAGAACACGTAACAACCTTGAAATCTCAACAAACGCCCCAAACAGATGCTTTGCAAGCCGTGAGAGGGGGCTGAGAAGCGACAGAAAAGATTTAAGCTTTGCCTTTTGGCAGAAAACAGCCCGGTGCTGCTGGCCACGGCCTCCCACAGCAGGACAGGGAGAACAATGCATTACCTCGGTAGGTGATTTGCAAACAAACTCCCTACTGGAGTTAAATGACATTATCTGCTTGCAAAAAATAATTTAAAACATATTTTTCCACCTTCTTTGTTGCCCAAAGCACAACTGGTGTCCTTCGTTATTTTATCCCAGCTGCACAAAGATGTTCTCATCCAGAGGAGCCAATTACGCTTCTTTAAGAAAATGCAGTTCACGTTACCTTTTCTTTGTCCTTCTGAAGTTGCTTCTCCAGTTTTTTAGCCTTGCCTTTGGCATGTTTTAGGTTTTCCCTTACTTTAATATCCTGCAAATCCAACTGCGTGAATTTTTCTTTATTTCCCTCTATGAACTTTGTAATTTTACTGAGCTTCCTAACAGGGAAAAAAAGAAAGAATAACCTATTCCATACCCTATAAAAATGCCTGTAGAGCTTAGTCTAGTAAGTAAGCATGTAGAATGTAGACCAATACTACTCAGGTTTTGTGAAAAACTATATCCAGTACTTGCTATTCACAGTATTTTCCCCAGAGAAGTGATGTTTTATCAGAAAAAGATCAATTACCAAAGCAATGTTAAACACATTTTCTGAAACTTTATTTTTTCCTTGATAGAATTTGTAATTCACATCTCTCACAAATAACTTACTATAACTTTAAAGGATGAAGTTTAATACAGCAGCTGGATTGGAGATTAGCACCCAGGAAAAGTGATTTTAGAGACACAATTCACGCACAAGAGATTTGTTAGGAAACCAGAGAAAAACACCAAACATCCACGTACCTAAGAATTATAGTTTTATAACTAAAAACCTAAAACTACTTCCCAGTTATTTGAACAGTCACTATAAAAAGTACGTACTTTAAAAATCCATTAAAAAAAAAAATCAGACCTTTTCTAATTCTAATTGTGATTATTATCCAGATTTCTTCAAAATCGAACCAATGAAATTTTTTAATTTTGTGTGTGTGTGTGTGTGTTTAAGCCCATTTAATCCACGCCTGGTGAGGTTTAGAAATACTGTAAGCGACTGCTCCTGAGATAATTTAAGGTTTCGGTCAAAGAACCACTGAAAAACCCAGCTGTGCTCCCTTTTCTTTGATCACCTTCCCCTGCAACGACCGTACCCTTCTGCTTTCGCAGGTGTTCCCCTCCCCGCACGACACCCACCACGGCTCGGTCTGAAAATCCTGCCGCCTCTAACGCCACACGTGCACGACACAGAGCTCTTACCCAAAGTACTTACTTTTCAAGTTCTTTCAAAGCTTTGTTCTTGGCTTTCATGTCATCTGCAAGCTTGCTACTCTTCTCATTAATGTCTTTGGTTTGTTCGTTAATTTTTTCTTTCTGCATTTCCATGTCATTTACTCGTTTCTTTAGGTCATGGCTAGAAGAAAAAAAAAAAAAACCCAATCAAAATACAAAAAAAAAAGCCCCAAACCTCCACTTTTTTCCACAAAGCTAACATTCATAATGAACATGTATTTTCAACTTTAAGTGTAACGAAGGGATTATGTAAAATAGTAAACCCTAATGTTCATTATTGAGTAACCTTGCCAAACCAGCAAGGAAATCTAACAATTTTGACACTTCAGATGAAAATAATCTTTAAGTGATCTTTCTCCATTGAAGAATAAAGCTGTAAAAGACCAATTTGCCAGGCTATTTTGTAAAAAGCTGGCAAGCAGGTTTTGGAGGGTTATTTTGTTTGGTTCGGTTTGGGTTTGCTTTTGTTGTTGTTTTTGTTTGAAGGTTTTGGTGAAAATGGTCTCCGTTTTGAAATTTTTAACTTAATTTTTTAACTCGATGGATTTGGAAGTAAGAAATGCAAAATATTTCCAATTAGAGATACGGAAGCCGAGTTTCACACCATATCAAAGTGAAAACTTTAGGGAAGTACTTACATATAGTATTGAGAGATGCGATTCTTTTCTTTAAACATTTTGTTTTCCAAACACAGAAACTCAATGGCTTTATTCTTGTCCCCTTCCAAGGCATCCTTTTCTTTTTCCACCATTTTGACTCTATTTAACTAGACAAAGCGGAGAGTCAGAGTTGACTTTACTGCCAGCACTGGAGAAGAACAAACCACGAGGAGAAAAACCCCAGAGCCTTTGTAGCACACGTGGAAGAGACGGTTTTCAACAACTAACTCGGCAGGGCAGTTGAGCGCTACAAGCTTCTGAAATGGGAGATCTCCATTTCCACAGCAGAGACTTTTAGGGCAATTCCAATAGTGATTTAAAACTGAAAAGGGATCCTACCCATGCTAGGAACAGCTCAGGAAAATCAAGGAGAAAGCAGGTGAGAAATAAAGGAGTTACATACAGACGGTCCATACGCATTATTTTCTCTATTTCAACCTTTTGCCTAGTCCCTTGTAAGTTAATTCCTGCAAATCCATCTTTGGTTTTCCTTCGCAGCCTTTAAAAAAAGTCTGCAACATGTGAGAATTTACCAAAGACACGTCAAGTAAAAAGAACTCGAGTTGTTATTTAGCACTTCTAGAACTCAATACGTAAATCAAACGTTAGGAAAGCAAATTCTGCAGTAAATCCACCAGTTCAAGTCACAACGAATTGTCTGTATTTTTGAGCCTCCTCAGCGCTGTGTGTGCATCACCTCGGCCTCCCTCCTCCTCCTCCCTTTCCTTAGCACTTGAAAGCTCTCCCTGCTACGGCTCCAACTTGCTTTGGCAAGAAGACTCAAATCTCTGAACTTCTACTCGTGTAGAGGAGCGCCAAACTTTAACCAAGTCTTTACGCAAACCATTTTTCTTAAAAATCCAAAAATGCAACATTGCAAGCTTGTAATTTGTAATTTAAGAGTTCTGACCAAACTCTCCAAGACTCACCTTCTCTCCCCTCTGTTCGTTTAACATCTCCACTCTGCGACACAGAGTCTGGATGGGATCTTTGAGTCGGGCAGATCCTATTAAGTCTTCCAAGTACTCCAGCATGCCTTCATCATGTTCAGTCTGGCCTTTCGGTTTCATCATCGCGATTTGCTCAACTTCCCCCTTGGAAAAGAAAAGTTTGATGTTTTTCTTTTTTTCTTTTCTGAAGAAAGGGTTAGCATTCTGGAAAAATACGGACATCTTTGGAATGCAGCTATGTGATCACATTCTAGCATCATAAAAAAAAAAAAAGAACAAAATAACGCAGCCATCAACATTGACTATTCAGCGACGCGTTTGGGAAAACAAAGATCAAAATGACATTTCCTCCAAAGGGTTCATGGTGATGATGTGTGCAAAAACCAGCATCTCTTCTGAAGCCACCACTCAAGGTCTAAACATTGCTTCATTTCTCTAAAGATTCAAAATGTATTTCCCCAACCTAAAAAAAGCAGAAGAGAAGAAAGCAAGCCCTCTAGGTCATGTAGCACCCAACAGCCTTCATGGGCTTTAATCAGGACTGAAGTCCCTGAAGGGTTCTCTTCAGAAAACAGAAAGTCCCTAAAATCGTGTCTGACGGATGGACAGGACTTGTAATTCATCCATCTGGGACTTCCTTGCTAGAAAAACATTATTTAAGCGTTAGCCTTCCTTCATTTCATTTTCCTTTATGTACAGCATTAAATTATTATGTAACAACAATTAGCTTTTTTTATAAAGTAAGAATTAGGAAAGATTAAACTAAGACATGACAAGGACTGTTTCTTTTACTGATGCTGTTGTAAACCAACAAAAAGTCTACTATCAACACGTTATGCATAAAATGTTACAAAATACAGATTCTATTTGGTAAATGACATGGTCATATATCAGAAGGTGAAGACGTGAAATAGAATATACACGTATCGAAATGGTATCTGGAGCAAGAGTAGGCGTGATAGACACTGCAAAACTTAAATAAAGAGAACACTGAGTAAAAAAGTATTCGCCCTCAAAAATCCAGATATTGAGGTACATGACGAACATGCAGAACAGCCAGCAGTGTGGAGTACCAGCACCGCCTTTCGTGACTCAGTTTTAAATAGATGAAACCACAAGCTGGATTCAAGGTTGCAAATTAGCGTTAGAACCGACAAGACTTAAAACCAACCCAAAATTTCTATTCCAGTATCGGAGCTACCTATGTAAAACCACAAACCCTAAGTCTGTATCCCCAGAGTGAAAATGTAGGTGAGAACTTGTCATCACCGGCTGCTCGTGGAGCTCGAGCTGACAGCGGAGTCTCTCCAGGACCTTCCCAAGGAGGCGCAGGAGGGCGATTCCTGCT